AAGTTAATGGATTTTCTTAATTAGGGAAGTAACAGGATATAAAAGATTGATTCCGAGAGCTTCTAGCCTAATTGGAAATATAATCGGTTGTGTTTTGCCAGATGTCATTTCAAGAAAGTCTTTTTCTTTTAAGATGCTAAAGAAAACCCTTATGGTGAGGATGACAATAAGAGCCCATTCCCCCTGCAGCCCAAAAACAAACGCAGCTATGCCCAGAATGTGACTGTCTGGATCAAACCCAGTGGCCTGCAGGTAACATTTTCCTTTCTCTGGGGACAAGAAGAGGGATTCTGGCAGGCAGACAGACCTTCGATTTGATTTTCCTCTCCTCTGATACTTAGTAAATTCATTTACTTCTAATGTTCATTATTTACAAAAAGGATTTGAGGTGGCCTACAGTAAAACACATATATAGCAAAATCATTTTTTATAAAATTTAGAGCAGAAAGGAACCTTATAGAGGAAGAAGGGGACAGTTGTGCCAGGAACCTGAGGTAAAACAGTAATTGTATTAATTTGGCTCTGAGCTTCCTGAAACCAAGGTTAAAAAAGAAACATATTGGGGTATATAGTTTTTCTTATCTGATAAAAGGAATCCTGTCAGTTCTTCTAGAGAAAAACATTTCCCTGGCATTGTATTTTTATGTAAGTTTTACACAGTGAGACATTGAATAACACAGTGGATGTTATCTTTTAACAGTTTTGCAGAAGATGCAAAAGTCTCTTTACAGGGTTATTTCTTCCATCTCCACAGTAAATCCCAAGGCGTAGCATTACATTATAATTCAACTAAAATACTTTTATAGGAATCTAAGATACCATTATCAAGGTATGCAGGGTTCAGGTGAGATACTCAGTGACACTTCTGCTTCCATTGACATAAAATCATTAATGACTGTTTTTTTAAAAATCACTTCTTCTTGAGCCTTTTTTTCTCCTTTTAGCCCATATTGTTGTTCTTTGATGAGTCCAACCTAAGCCAATTAAGAGGCAGTAAAACCACCTGACAAGAAAGAAACTTTTGTAAACCGTATTGTCTTTTCTAGCCCCTTTCCATGGAGACTGAACCACATCCTGCCATGACTAAGGGGACAGAGACCTCTTCTTTTTGTAGGGAAATCTCTTTTCCATAATCCCTGACCCTAGTATATCCCTGTCAGAAGGATAATTCAAACCATTTCCATTAGCGGGTATAGCTGAAATTTGTTTTTTAAATTGTTTTGGTCTTCGGTTTGTTTTTATGAGACTTACAGGCCATTTAGTTCCTTTCTGTCATCAAGGGATTTCTTTTATCATCAAGCCTCTTGAAGGAGAGAAACGCTTTGCTAATGTTGAACAGAACATTGAAATGAACTCAGAGGAGATCCATAGTACCTCTGTTCTCATTTCCGTTTCTTTAAATATTTTGAACCATCCTGTTATTCTTTCCGCTTTTCACCACAGAATTGTAATGTCAAATTCTTTCCACCTTTTATAGACAGATGTACAGAAGATTTTAAGAAATGCAAGGAAACTACCTGAAAAAACACAGACGTTCTATAAGGTGAGAATGTCAGAAATGGAGTGAAAGAGATGTGTTCCAAAGATAAATGATCACAGTAGTAAAAGTGCATCCACTACCCAAACTTTCTGTGAGAGTCTTTCCAGTCAGACTTCTGACTCCTCCATGGCCTCCTCCAAGCATGTTCATTTGTCATTCAGTTTGAGGCCCAGTCAAGAGAGGCACCAAAGAGTTAAGAGCCCTCTGAGGTTTGGGGCAAGGAGGGTAGTATCCTCCTTAGAGATAAGAAGAGTAAATGAAATGGTGTATGACACCGTATTTGGCATAAATGCTTATTACCTGTGATGACCTGTGTTTTTCAGTCAACACCTCTGTAAGAGCTACTTCCCACTCATCTGCTTATTGGTGGCTTTGAACAAGCCCTTGTTCAGATAAATATGCTCACTAAATTTGAGGTCAAGGAGCATTTATAAAGCATGTATGGAAAACCCATTTCAGGAGCATTGATGTCGTTTCAGGAGCTGAACCGTTTAAGAAAGGCTGCCTTGGCCTTTGGTTTCTTGGACCTGCTCAAAGGAGTGGCCGACATGCTGGAAAGGGAGTGCACACTGCTGCCAGACACAGCCCACCCTGACGCTGCCTTCCAGCTGACCCATGCAGCCAAACAGCTCAAGCTGGCCAGCACCGGCACCTCTGAGTACGCTGCTTATGACCATAACATCACACCTTTACAGACAGACTTCTCTGGGAGCAGCACTGAAAGAATGTGAAGCTGACCTTTGGGAGCCTTCTTTCTCATTTCTAGAGTGAAAATGCTTTAGAGTCAAAACCTTTTCAGTCTGTTCACCTCTGGAATAGCCACCTGACGACCTCTCTGCAGCTGCCTCAGAAACACCATTTCTTGGTTTCAGTGACTCTACCAGTCTGAGAAGGATTTTGAAAGGTGGTTGGCTAGTTAGGGTTAATTGTCATTTTCTGGGGCTTAGAATCCACAGATTCTGCTCCCTTGATGGGCACATCTCCTGAGAAGCATGAATGGCTGACAAGCACAGGGCTTCCCATTTCCTCAGCAGGGTCCCTCTGGTTTCCTGAAAGGTATCATCTCTTCTCTTCAATTTTCTACTACAGTATTTTCAAGCTTCTGTCCCTGGAATAAGCAACCCAGATCATTTAGAGAACTAAGTACAAGACCAGCTCAGTTTCAGAACTTTGCTTAGAAGTTGGGCAAAATGTGATAGTAACTCTTAGGTGCTTTTGGTATATCTTGAGATACAGACTTTTAATCAGAAATCATAAATGTGTAAAATGGTTCCCATTTCTTTAAGTTTTTGGGTTTGTTTGTTTGTTTTTTTAAGTGAAAATAAAATACTGATTTTCTATAGTTTCACTGTGAAATTAATGAGCATTTTGCCTTTTGGTCTTACCTATCACTTGTATATAATTTCAACTTCTTAAGTGGCACAGATTTATAAAATCCTGTTTTCTTGGGTTCTATACTGACTTCCTTATTCAGAGTGATTAAGTTGCAGTGCCAGGCTGTAGTTGCTGTCCATGATTCCAGTTCATGGAAACCTCATGTATGTTGGGGTAGAACTATGCTCCATAGGGTTTTCAGTGTCTCATTTTTTCCAGAAGTAGATCACCAGGTCTGCCTTTCTTGGGCAGACGAACCTCCAACCTTTTCGTTAGTAGCCGAGCATGTTTACCATCTCTACTACCCAAGGACGCTGAGCCAGGTTCATACCAGCTGTTTTAACAGATCACTGAATTCCAAGTCAGTTTTGGTTCCAGTCCATCAGCCAGGTTCACGATCTTAGGCAACATAACTTTTCCAAGGTTTGAAAGATTTTCAGATTGCTCTGTGGACCTCCTAAGGTAGACTCCCCCAGGCCTCTGGGCCCTTTACCGCCATTTCAACCAAAACAACCCATTTTGGTTTAATATGCTGAACTGTCTGAAGAAAGGACTTCATCACTAACAGTTTGAAAATCATTAAGCTAAATGATACTTAGACACGTCATTAAGATTTTGATTGTAAATATTTTAATAGAAATACACAATCTTTTGCTTTCTCAGACAGCAAGAAAGGGGTTTGTAACAATCACTAAAAACACAGGATGCAGCATAATCTACTGCAAAGCAAATCTGCCCAATTACACACAGGAAACTCAGCTGAAAGAACATCAGAAGTCAGGACAAACAAGTGCAGACAGGAAGGTACAGGCATGCAAGATACCCCTCAGTGCAATGGATCAGCCAGCCTATGCTAACCAAATGTTTTAGGTTAAGCCAAGTTTAGAGATCTAAACACTGCATAACTCATTGAGTATCCTTTCCCCCAGGAACAATGGGAATGGTACAGAAACTATCATAGCGTAAATTATTCAAGTGTTACATCTAACACATTTTACTTGGAATGTTTTGGAGAAAACTGCTGCATTTTTGAATAGACAAATTTCAAAATGTCTAGTTGGTTGGTTGTGTTTTTTTTTCCTTCGAGTCCCCCTATTGGTATTTCCTGCCAAGAATCCTGGTTATCTAGCTAAATTCCTATTTTTTCACTGCCCTACTGCAGACAGGTGAAAAAGTCAATCTAATAGCAGAATAAAAGGTATTTTTCAGTTCTACTCAAAAACAGTCCCTCCACTCACTCTGACAGGTACACAGTCAATGGACTCAGCTAGTACAGCAAAAAGAAGACTGACTCTTTAAAAGTGTTTGTTCACAGCTTAAGACGGTTTTGTGAGCATGCTTAGTCTGGCCTATTTGAATGTCTCCAGTTTGCCACAGGCTGCATTGCCAGCAACTTACTGCCAGTTTGACCCATGTATTTATGTTCTCTTCTGATCCCTGATGCCATGAGTTTGGAACACTTTTTTATCATCTCATTGTTTCCCAAATAATGTTTCATCTTTCTCTAGTGTTGAAAAATAGTAGTAAAGTAAGTGATCATGGTATTCCAAGGTTCTGATTGGTTTCTCTCAAATTATCCTGTGCTGCTTCACCAGTGCCCACATAGTGGTAAGCACTGCGATAAGCCATTAGGCCAGAAGATGTCAGATTTCGTATAGGTTCTCTAGCCCCACATTGACACGATAGCCCCTCAGTGACTTGAATCTAATTTGATTATCACAAGGTTAATGCCACCTCACTTGCCAAGTGACCCACTGAGTACAGAATATATTAGAGGTCCTGCCCGAGTCATTTTCACAGCCTCCTATAGAGCAACATAGTCTTGCTTTGTTTCACATGCAGTAGCTGAGAAGAACCAGTCTCAAATATGAGAATGGCCAGTACCTTGTAAGGATGACACTGAAGAAATACTCTTGGCCCGTATGACACAGACTGACTAGACGAGTGGGGTGGGAGTGGGGCTGAGCCTTTGTTGTCACTAATTGAATACACAGGAATGAACCTGTCATCAGATGTCAGGAATCCATGTCATGCAAGCACTACACTAAGATAATACAGTAAATTCAAGAAAGTTACTAAGGAAAAGGAGAGCCTCACAGAGAATTTAATTATTTAACTTTAAAAAAAACTTTTACATCAGTACAAGAAAGTAAAACTGTAAGAATCTCAGACAAGCCTCTAACTGGTAGAAGCCACCCAAATCTCTTCTTAATGGATCTTTTTCTTTTTTTGTCCATAGCGCCGCCTGCGCTGTTTATAAAGGTGACGGAAATTTATGTATAACCCTGAAAAAGAAAAGAGGGTGAGTAGAAATGAGAATCTTTGTCTCTATTTAACAAAGCTTTTGGCGTCGGGACAGTAGCTCGTTGTCTGTTTCTCATATTCTCTGGCTCCAAGCTTATTACAGCTGCTCAGAAAGTACAAAGTAGAAAAATTACTAACAGTGACCTAGAGACAATTCATTTTTTTTTCCCTGCTGGGTTTACAATGTAATTTTTTCCCCATATTTTATCATGAAAATTTTCAAACACAAAAGTATGAAATCATTGTAAGTGAACACCCAAATAGTCACCACTTAACATTCTAAACTTTTCCTTTTTACTACACTGACTTTACCACGTAATTAGTTATTGGTGGCGCAGTGCCTAAGGCATTTGACTGCTAACCAGAGGGATGGCAGTTCAAACTCCACAGAAGGACGATGGGGCAATCTACCTCCATAAAGATTTACTGCCTCAGAAACTCAATGGGGGTTGCTGTGAGTCAGAATCAGCTGAATGGCAGTGGGTTTTGGTTTTTTTAATACGCCTAGCTCTCTGAACACTTGCTCTAGGGGAAGACCTGTCATGCGCAGTCACAGGGAGAGGCCCTACACCAAGAAACTACAGCCTCCTGTCAGAAAACACACAAGTAAGCTTGGAAGAGATCCTCCAGCCCCAGTCCAATATGCAGAGAATCAAGCCCCCCCATACAATCTGACTGACACCTCATGAGAGATCCTGTCCCAGCACAGCCCAGCGAGGTTGCTTCCTGATCCTCAGAAACTGTGAGATCATAAACGCTTATTTCAAGCTGCTACATTGTGGGGTCATTTGTTACATGGCAATCAGTAACTAATGAACTATTTGCTTCTGCATCCTCTGTTGCTGAGAAACCAGGCAGCCATTCTTATTTAAAACCACTTCAAGTCTTTTGTGAAATAAAGCAGAAAAAATAAATGACATTAAAATGTGTTTGATCCTTATCTAAAGCAAATAGTCCTTATAATTGGAAAATCTTTTAAATCTTTCATATTTGTGATAAATGAGGCTTCTTTTTCCCTTACGTTCTTAGTTTTTATGCAATAAGGCAAGAACCTGTGATTTACTATAAAAGTAATAAATAAGCAAGCAGGTTTTGTAATGACAAGCTGCAGGGCTTTCCCGCTGTTGGGTCAGTAACAGTCTCTGACACCCCTTGGCTGCTCAGAAGCCTTACTGCCTGCCTCTTTCCTTGCTGTCAGCTCTGTTACCACCTCCTTAAACTCTGGATGAGGGAGGAATGTGCTAATGAGGTTAGTAAGAGTAAAATGAACTTACTCTGTTTTAAAAGCGCTTCTTACATTGTTCTAAACAAGAAACAACTTGTAGTGTCTTCCTAAGGACCAAGACCACACATCAAGAAGATAATTCAAGAGATATGGCAGGAAATATCTCATATAAAGCAAATTCTTCTAGTAGGTCTGTTTGCAAAGTAATCTTTTGCACTATTGGAAATAAAAATCCCAATAAGGACTTTAAAAACTCTAAATCATTTAAATCTACCCTCTAAGAAGTGATATGGAGCTGTAGTTGTAAAGTGGTTAAGGCATTTGGCTGCTAACCAAAAGGTCAGCAGTTCAAACCCACCAGCCGCTCCAAGAGAAAAAGATGAGGCAATCTGTTTCTATAGATTTAGAGCCTTGGAAACCCTATGGGGCAGTTCTACTCTGTCCTATATTGTCAGAACTAACTCTATGGTTTTTGGAAGACGTGATAGGAAAAGTCTGTATTACAGACTCAATACTTACCTAAAAATAATATGATAAGATAAATCTGAAGAAAAAAGGAAAATCTAACTTTAATTTTGACAGGATATGGCAATGTGAAACTGAATCTTCCTGTTTCATTGAATATTGGAATGGACTGGATCACTGAGACAGCTGGAAGCAAAAACAAGAACTTGTTAAAAGAAAATGAAATAGAGTCTTATCTAGTGTCAGAACCCTCCAATCCCCAGCCCTCAAAGCTCTGGTAGCATAGTGGCTAAGACATTTGCCTGCTAACCAGAAGGCTGGCGGTTCAAACCCACCAGCCACTCCTCGGAAGGAAGGTTGGGCAATCCTACTTCCGTAGTGATACTGCCTCGGAAACCCAAGGAGGGGTTGCTATGAGTCGGGGCCGACTCGACGGCACATAACAACAACAACAAGAAGTGTCAGAACCCTCCAATCCCCAGCCCTCAAAGTTTCAGTTCTGGGTTTTTGAAAATGCTTCACCTTCCCTTCTTACAGACAGTTCTTAGTTTTCTTAGCTGTCAACAAACAGTTGAATGAGGGCTAGGCACATGATCACATAGGGCTTCAGTTTCCTATTCTATAAAATGAAGAGAATAATCCCTTCCTGACTCACTCACCAGGTTATTTGTGAGAATAAAATGAAGTTATCGATATGAACCTGCTTTGTACCTATAAATGAGAAGCATGCAGTATGTGACCACCTAGCTCCTAAAACTTAGAAAACAAGCTACCTTCCTAGATACAAGGAGTATTATGGAAAGAAGTCACTAGAAAGAAATTCTGGACAAGTCCAAGTTAAGCTATAGAACTTAGAATTTCTAAACATACCTTCTGCCAAACATCCCAGAGGATACAGGGGAATCCACACAGAGTAGCGGAGCCACGTGAGTACCTTCCAATCCATGTCAATGCAAGTAAGCATGTAGAAAGGGTACCTATTGAAAATAAGGAATTCAGATATTAAAAGCCACTTCAGGTTCTGAAAGGAGCTCTGGTGGCATAGTGCCTAAGGCATTTGACTGCTAATCAGAAGGTTGGCAGTTTAAAACCACCAGCCACTCCATGGAAGGAAGACTGGACAATCTACTTCCATAAAGATTTACTGCCTCAGAAACCCAAAGGGGATCAATGTGAGTCGGAATCAACTTGATGGCAGTGCGTTTGGGTTTTTTGGTCAGGTTCTGAATGCAACCTTAGAAAACGAGGGTTTTCTCAATCAGATGCACTTATTCAGAACAGAATTATAATCCTGGACTATTAGTCGCAACGTACCATCTTGCTACTCTCCAATTTGTCAGAGTATGTGAACTCTCTTTAATGTCAGCCTAAGTTTAAGTCTCAAAGGAATCCTCTTTGGAATGATTCATATGAACTAGGCTCTTAGAAGCTTTCTGGCTTTATTCCTAGCTCTGATCTATTTTCCAGGTGGATAAGGCTGTCAGACTTTATGAAATGAATTGTTATCAAAATTAAAATATACAAAAAAAAATTTTAAATATACAAAAGACCACTAATCTAGAATCAGACATACATTTAAGAGAGAGATCATAAGAAAAGAAATGCTCCTTCCCAATGAATGTTAACATTAAAGTCCTAAAATCCTTTTCACCTTTATATTTAGATAGATTAGAAGATACACAAGGTGCCGTGGAATGGATACCCGTCGATGTTAAGGCATACTCTAAGGTTGCTTCAGTCTAGCCTCCCTCGCCACTGTTAACTCCACCAAAATACCACCAAACCCAGATCTAATGGGCCAATTCGCAAAATCCTTGTTCCATTTGATTGAAATTGGAAGAAATATGGAGTACATATGGTTTAATAAAAAAGAATACATCTACTTTAAATGGTACTATTTGTTTTATTTAAAAAAAAAAAAAAAAAGATATTTCTTCTATTGAGAATGGAAGACCATTACTTCAGTAATTGTGTAAAGTACAATCACCATTTGTACCATCTCTTCTAGAAGGTCAGTCTTGAATAGTTCGATCCAACCTGAACTGCTCCTTCAACTCCATGTTTCTTCAGCCCTTGCAAGAATTTTTCCATGTGAATGAGTCCTTTCTTTCCAATAAGCCAGCAAGATCCCGAGGGGGAAGAGGGTCTCCCCTTCCTCTGGTTCTCTCCTTCTGCTCCCTAGTGCCCAAGCTGGCACTATGATCCAACAACTGTTTTTTTTAAAAAAGAAAACCTGTCCCAACTTTGCACATATATCCAGCTAGAACTTTCCACACATTTAATCTTATTTCCAAACCAAATGAGACTCTGGCTTAGACAGCAACTCCCCTAAGAAGAGAGCTGCCCCACAGGCATTTAAACAGTATCCTGGCATTTTTACCTACCTGAAAATTTCAATTGTGCTCCACAGGTAAAACACAAAGAAAACTACAGCTCTGTTTTGCATTTCTTCCATGGTGCCAAAGATGATAAACAAAATGAAATTTCTTCCAAGAAGCTATTAAAAGGACCCAAAAGAAAGAAACAAGTTTTTAAAATGCATACAAAAACCATATTAATGCCTTATCTGAAACCTAACCTCACTAAACTCAAAGTAAATGGACAAGATTGAGCTTAACGAGTTTAATCTTCAGTTTTAGAATAAGTTAAAGTACCCAAACCAGTCTTTCTAGACAAATAGGTACACATTGGGTATGTGTATGATGGTGTAACTATAAAAATATAAATAATATATCTTGAAAGTATACACATACATCCAAACATGTAATTTAGAAAACACTGACAAATGAACATGTGTCTCCATAACCCACTTAGGACATAGACTAATACCAGTGTGGCACTTCCTTAAGTAACTACTATCCTGTGTTAATAATCCCCTTATTTTTTTATAGGTTTCATTCTGCCTGTTTTTAAACTTTTTGAGATCATGCTGTGTGATAATTCTAAACTGCTTCTGGTTGGTATTATGTTTCAGAAATTCATCCATGTTGATGCATGTGGTTACAGTTTGCTCATTTCCACTGCTCTAAGGTATTCTAATATATGAATAGACATTCTACTCCTGATGGATGTGTGGGTTGTTGTCTATTCCGTATGACTCTCTCTGTACCTATATAGCATGGTATTAGCTACTGAATGCTTATAATGACTTGTTTTCTTGTAGGGCAAGTCCACAACTTCGGTATTTCTTCAAAAGAAAATTCTTGGTCCTTCGCTTTTCCATATAAACTTTACAATTTTCTTGTCACGTTCCAAAATTTTTAAGGTTTCCACTGAAATTGCATTTAATCTATAGACAAATATGAAAAGAACCTGTATCATTCTAGTACTGAGTCCTATAATTCAAGAAAATTAAAAGTCTAATATATTTACTTTTTGTGTTCTCTATTCCTTCTTGCAAACCTTCCATATAGGATCACTTTCCTACTACCTGAAGTATTTCTCTTCCAGAGGGAGGCAACTGATGATAAACTCAGTTTTCTTTTTTTGAAAATGTCTTTATGTCACCCTTATTATTTTAAAAAATAATAGGGTCAGCAAACTATGTCCTGGAGATCAAATCTGGCCCAACACTGGTTTTTGTACTTGTATTGGAACATACCGAATCCATCTGTTTACATATTGTTTATAGCTGCTTTCCCACTACAGTGACAGAGTTAAAAAAGTGAGCAAAGACCATCAGACCCGCAATGCCTATATATTTTAATGTACATAAATCTTAATATACATATATTTATTTATTTATATGTAATTTATCTGTCCCTTTAAGGAAAATTTGTCAATGTCTACTCTAGACTTCCAAAATGGTTGTTATTTTCTTCCAGTACACTGAAGACATCTTTCCTCTATCTTCTGACTTCCTTTCTTGCTGTTAATAGTCTACTGTTACTACTTTGAAGGTATTTTGTCTTTACCCTCTATCTAACTACTTTTGATATCTTTTTGTCTTTTGTATTCTGCAGTTTCACTCTGATGTCTCCAGGGGTGGATTTCTTTTTATTTATCCTGATTTGGATTTATTATGCTTCTTGAATCTATGTTTTGGCATTTTTCATCAGCTCTGGTGAATTCCGACATTATCTTTTCTAATCTCTCCCTCTATCCCATTCACCTAGGAGCTCTGGTGGCGTAGTGCCTAAAGCATCTGACTGCTCATCAGAAGACTGGCGGTTCCAACCCACCAGCCACTCCTCAGAAGGAAGGTTGGGTGATCTATTTCCGTGAAGCTACAACCTCGGAAACCCAAGGAGTGGTCGCTATGAGTCAGAATCAACTCAATGGCACTGAGCTTGGTTTTGATTTTTATCCCATTCACCCTCTTTTCTTCTGAGTTACTATTAGACATATGTTCAACCTTCTACTCGATGCTTTTATCTTTAACAGCTCTCATATTTTCCTTTTATCTCTTTGTGCTTCATTGTGTTCATTTCTTCGGATCCATCTGCCAATTCACTCATTTTCTTGGCAGCTGTGTCTAATCTACTATTAAAACTATTTGTTACATTTTAAGTTTTGATTACAGTATTTCTCATTGATAGACATTCTACCATCTCCTTCTCAGATCTGCTTATTCTTTATAGATATTGTTTCCTGCTCGAATAATCAGTATTCTTTTCTTCCTTTAAGTATGATTATAGGCAGTCCTCGGATTATGAATGAATTCATTCCTAAGTATGTCTTTAAGCTGAATTTGTATGTAAGTCAGAACAGTTAGGTATGATTGTATTTCATGTCAGTCAAATGTTTGTCTCAGTATATAGTATATAGTGTACCTTTCTATACAGAAAAAAAGAAACACTTCCAGATGCATGAAAGCATCTTTAACATAATAATAATGTTTTGATGCACATCATAAATTATCACCCATTTGTTATTATAAACTAAATTATCACCCATTTGTTATTATAAACCACTGCATATACCTCAGGCTTTTAACATAATAGGCTTTACAAGAGTTAGTTCATAACGGCAGGTTGCATGTAACTCGAGATATTCCTAACTCAGGGACCACCTGTATCTTCTCTTCTGTATCTGATCGTTCTAATATCTGAAACCCTTGTGGATCTGTCTGGGCAGCCTGTTGTTTCTGCTGGCTCTTCTTCACAGTGTTGTGTTTCCTTGGTTTCATAATCTTTGACTGGAAGCTGTTCATTTGCCTTGGAAACGTATCTGCAGCAGTTCTTTGAGGCCTGCGTAAAGGTGGTTTCTTCTAGAAGAGATCTGTGTTTGCCTCTGCCAGAGTCTAAGGCAACAGCAATTGAGGATCACTTTGAATAAAATTCATAACTTGAGAATTTTTGAACCACCCAAGTGGTATGAACTTGTAACTCAAACTCATATGGAAGATAAACTTAGGCTATGAATTAATTCTTAAATTATTGCTCCTCTTCTAGCAAGACCATCATCTGAGACACAAAACTGCCCTTGTAGACGGCAGGGAGGGGAAGGTCAAACTTATTTCTAAGCCATCTTTACAGGAAGCTCTTTCTGTTCTCTGATTTATAGGGAAGTAGACTCTACTTTAGGCAAGCTCTGAATTTTTTATCTCTTGTACCTTTCAATACTATAAAATTGAAGTTTACTTTTACATGGGTTTGCAAATCCCCTTATGGCAAAAGTCAATGTCAGTGCTCAGCTTATCTCTGTAGGTTTTAGCTTTCACTTAGTTTTTGACCTGTTCATCAATACATTTGAGATTTTCCTCAGTTTCTTATCCAGTGTTTATAGCATGAGAGTTCATTAGGCTACCTAGTTTGCCTTATTTCCTGAAACAGAATCCTCTAACCCTGTTTTTATAAGCCAAGTAAACAAATACTGGTTATTACTCCATGATTACTTTATAGCAGTAGATGTTTTTCACTAAATTTCTTTGGCTAGATATTGAGCCTCTTACTCTTTGATCTTTTTCAAATGGCAATGGAAAGAAGGCTGCATGTTCTCTCACTTTCACCCTAGTTTCCTGTATTGTTTTCTACTTACTCTATCTTGGTTCTAGGAGGAATAATATTCTAGTTGTTCAGGTCCCCAAGGACAGAGGCTACTTCCTAATCTTCTGTGCACCTGTTAAGCCCTCAATATATGTTAAATGACCCAGTCAACCTGCTGTGGTAAATTCAGCTCCTATTTCCAATCAAAATAAGCTCTCCTCAGGCCAAAGCATTGCCCAAATCTAGAAGGCTTCACTTACAGTGTATTCTATGTAAATGGCACTCCCTGGAGCCATGCTATAGGATGATACTGAACTTGTCCCTGTCATCTTGCCCTAAAAATTCTCCTTGAATGCTTATTTATAATAATCCTTGATATACAAAGAATATTATCGCATATTAGTGGGTCATCTACTATGCTTCTTTTATTTTTTTGAACCAAACAAAAACAGCTTCCTTCAGAAGGCAGACAACCCAGAAATAAGAAGGTTATTATATATTAACACTTTTGTCTTGCAACTGATACTGTCAGAATGCCAGCACTGGTATACAAAACAGATGGACCTATAAAAACAGTATTCCAGGAAAGACTGACCGAGAATCACCTGGTTTCCTTAGAGTTTGTGCAGGTGGTATTTAATGGTATGCAATCATACAGCTAGGGAACAGAGTGAGGAGGTTGACTTTCATACCCTGTTCCTGATAAGAATTTTCCAGAAAATAGGAAATAACATAGGTAAATTGGGAAGAGCCTCCTTCATAATTAGAAAGAAAACACCAAGTGAAAACAGTTGCTAGATATCTGACAGCCTTCATCTACCCAAGGCAGCTGAAGACCCTGTACGTTTCTGTCTAAGGTGATAGATGGTAGGTTTTTCTGCTCCTGCCTAAAAAGCAAGTTTCTCCAGTTTTAAAGCTCATTTTAAAACTTTGTGATTTCATAAAGATGTTTACAACAAAAGAGACCTGACACAGAAAACATCTACTTTGGAAAATATCCTCAAGGTTTAAAGTTTTCCACCTTGTTCAGAAAAAGCAATGTTACTCCTATGCAAATAGATATTCTTAACTAATTGAGACTTCTCAACCATTTGTAGCATACCTATACTAGCTAAAAGCTGGAAACTTTCATTCCCCACCCTTGAGCTCAGCTACTCAGTACCTGTAGAAGAGAAGGCATCACTGGTGACTTAGTGACTCCAAGTGCTGCATTGATAGTTTCCACCGCTGCCAGCATCTGGCAGAAATACATCATATCAGCCACGGTGTGAAATGTGTCATAGAAGGACTCTATGGGCACAAATAAACAGTAGGGATAAATCAATTGGCAAATCCAACAGAATAATTTCTCAAACCAGATAATTCCTTACATAAAAGGAACTTTAGAAAAGGTAAGCAAAAGTGAGATTCAATCTTACTATCCAACTAAGTTGGAAGAAAGCAGGACCCTAGGGTCATATGGAGTAAACTCTACTGGTTACCAGAAAGCTAACACTAAGTCCTTATACTTTTCTCAGTTTTTAAAGGCAAGAAAAAAGCACACCTAGATTTCATTTAAAGGTGCAAACACCTAGAATTAGAAAACCAAAAGAGAAGAACATGCTCAACATTTCTCAAACTGAAAGAACTGAAGAAATACTCAAGGCTCGAGTTGAAATACTGAAGGGCTCTATGGGCAAAATATTGAACGATACAAGAAGCATCAAAAGAAGATGGAAAGAATACAGAGTCACTGTACCAAAAAGAATTGACCAACGTTCAACCATTTCAGGAAGTAGCTTAAGATCAAGAACCAATGGTACTGAAGGAAGAACTCCAAGCTGCACTGAAGGAACTGGCAAAATACAAAGCTCCAGGAATTGACAGAATATCCAGTGAGATGGTCAACAAACAGATGCAGCATTAGAGGCTTTCACTCATTTATTCCAAGAAATAAATGGAAGACAGCTGCCTGGCCAGATGACTGTAAAAGATCCATATCTGTGGCCATTCCAAAGAAGGATAATCCAACAGACTGCAGAAGTTATCAAACAATATCATTAGTATCACACACAAGTATAATTTTGCCGAAGATAATTCAAAAATGGATGTATCAGTATATTGATAGGAAGCTGCCAGAAATTCAAGCCAAATTCAGAAGAGGGCATGGAACAAGGAGTATCATTGCTGATCGCAAATACCAAAAAGATGTTTACCTGTGTTTTACTGATTATGCAAAGGCATTCAACTTTTATTGACTATGCAAAGGCATTTATCTGTGTGGATCATAACAAATTATGGATAACATTGGGAAGAATGGGAATTCCAGAACACCAAATTATGCTCATAAACAACCTGGACACAGACCAAGAGGTAGTCATTTGAACAGAACAAGGGGATACTGAATGGTTTAAAACTAGGAAAGGTGTGTGTCAGAGTTGTATCCTTTCACCATACTTATTCAGTCTGTGTGCTGAGCAAGTAATCCAAGAAGCTGGACTATATGAAGAAGAACAAAGCATCAGGATTGGAGGAAGACTCATACCACCTGTGATGTGCAGACGACATAACTGTGTTTGCTGAAAGTGAGGATGACTTGAAGCACTTACTGATGAAGATCAAAGACTAGAGTCTTCAGTATGGATTACACCTTTAACATAAAGAAACAAAATCCTCACAACTGGACCAATAAGCAACATTATGATAAATGGAGAAAAGATTAAAGTTGTGAGGGATTTCATTTTACTTGGATCCACAATCAACACCCATGGAAGCAGCAGTCAAGTAATCAAATGATGATGGATTGCATTGGGCAAATCTGCTGCAAAAGGTTTCTTTAAAGTGTTAAAGAATAAAGATGTCACTTTGAAGACTGAGGTGCACCAGTCCCAAGTCATGGTATTTTCACTTGCCTCATACGCATGTGAAAGCTGGACAATGAATAAGGAAGACCACTGAAGAATGGATGGATTTGAATTGTGGTGTGGACAAAGAATAGTGAAAATACCGTGGACTGCCAGAAGAACAAATAAATCTGTCCTGGAAAAAGTATAGCCAGAATGCTCCTTAGAAGCACGAATGACCAAACTTTCACCTGCTTTGGTCATGTTGTTAGAAGGGACCAGTCCCTGGAGAAGGAGATCACGCTTGGTAAAGTAGAGGGTCAGAAAAAAAGGGGAAGACTCTCAACAAGATCTATTGACACAGTGGCTGCAACAATGGGCTCAAGCACAGCAAGGATAGTGAGGATGGGGCAGGACCAGGCAGAGTTTCGTTCTGTGTTACAGAGGGTCACCATGAGTCAGAGCCAACTCAACAACAGACTTTATTCAGTTAATATATACCAAAATCTGTGTATCAGGCACAGTGATAATTCTTTTCACTTCCATTATCTCATTTAATTTAAAGTTAACACCACATCACATATATTGAATCCAATATAGCCTTGTAAATCTCAAAAACTGTACAATCATAAAAGCACACGTGAAAAAGTATTGCTGAATTAAATTTTATGTTGTAAAAATCTTAAGTGCATTTTTTGTTTCTTCTTTTTTAAAAAAATTTCATTTATTTTATTGTTGTTGTTGTTAAGAGTGTACACAGCAAAACATACACCAATTCAATGGTTTCTACATGTACAGTTCACTGACACTGATTACATTCTTCGAGTTATACAACCATTCTCACCCTCCTTTTCTGAGTTGTTCCTCACAATTAACATAAACTCACTGCCCTATAAGGTTCCTATCTCACCTTTCAAGTTGCTATTATCAATGCGATCTCACATAGCCAGCCTTAACTGGATTTATATCTTTAGACCTAATGATTCTTATTCTGAAAATCAATCCTAACTAAAAATTATAAAATGAAATTTAAAAAGTTCTATAAACAATGTTAGGCACTTACATCTGTGACAAATAAATTATAAAAGATTGCACTCAAAAAAAAAAAGGAAAAAAATGTTCTATAAACAAGGTGTACTCTGAAACCTTATTTCTTAGTACATTAACATTAGAACATGAACAGATATATGCATACCCATGTTCATCACAGCACTGTTCACAATAGCAAAGAGATGGAAACAACCTAAGTGCACATCAACAAGAAGAATGGATAACCAAACTACAATACATACACACAATGGAATATTAAGCAACACTAAAGAATATTGTAGAATCTGTGAAACACCACATAATGTGGATGAAATTATGCTGAGTGATATAAGTCAATCACAGAAGGACAAATATTGTATTAGTTCACTATTGTGAAAAGGTTTGTATATGGAAGGCAACTTTCTTTGTTGGTTATCAGAGATAGGGCGGAAGGGGAGGAACACTGCTAAATAAGTAGATACAAGTACTTACTGATTTGGGTGAAGGGAAAGGCAATACAACAAAAGCAAGTGACCAACACAATAATACTAAGGAAAAGGAAGACAGAGACGCGCACAAGAGGTACAGACAACAAAGACAAACCCTTTTACATACACAATACTGCGTTATATGTAATAACAAACATTAATCTAAGGGTAAATAGATGGGTAGACAGGCTGAATGATCAGGTTATGTCCAGGCAAAAGGGGATATACCCATGACCATGTATAAGGTTGGCAAATGATATTTCTACATACATATTTGCATGTGGTGTTAAGAATGTCTATATATATAATAGAACTAACAAGGGACAAAGTTATGATAACTTCTTAGCCATAGTCAACCACCCTGAGGGAGTGAGTAGTTGGATCTGTGGGCTCAGCACCATGGTCACAGGGGACATCAAGCTCAATTGGCATAACATACGACACAAAAACACTGTTCCACATCCTACTTTGGTGAGTAGCAACTGGGATCTTAAAAGCTTGCAAGCAGCCATCTAGATGCAACAATGGGTCTCTCCTCATCCAGAGCAAAGAAAAATGAAGAAAACCAAAGACACATGGAAACAATTAGTCCAAGGGACTAGTAGACCATGCAAACCTCAGCCTATATGACCATGAGACCAGAAGACTAGATGATGTCCAGCTACCACTGTCAACCACTTGGAAAGGGATGACTGCAAGAGATCCTGGATAGAGTGGGAGAACAATGTGGAACAAAACTCAAAATCATTTTTAAAAAGACCAGGTATACTGGTCTGATAGAGCCTGGTGAGATCCTTGACACTATGGGCCCTAATTACTCTTCAGGTCTGGAATTGAACTCACTCCCATGGGTTCCAGCCAAACAATAGGCATACAGGGTGAACATTTACATCAAGCAGATACACTCCTTAGAACAATCAATCATGGGAGAGCAGATGGGTAGTGTTTGTAAAGGGAGATAGCTCAGGGGGTAGGAATGCATAGGAAAGGACACAGGGAAGAGGTAGATATGGGAAAGAAGTGGGAAGAGAGCTGATACATTGTGGAGAACTGCAGTCAATGCCATGAAACAAAATGTGTATAAACTGCTGTATGGAAAATGAATTTGCTCTGTAAGCTTTCATTTAATCACCCAAATCCCAATAAAAAATTCTTTTAAAAAGTTGGACAGTCTAAAATGGTAGTATATCCAACTTGTTAGGATACCACATAATAATTTTAAATGACAGTTACTGCTTACTGAAGTCAGCAAATATGGTATTAATTCTGAGCGATCTATAAAATAATATCCTGTATATCTTCATAGGGATCCTACTTGATATCTTGCTTCCTGCATTCCTCTTTGCTGGGTTTCTCAACTAAGACATGTTATCGTCGTCGTTAGGTGCCACTGAGTCAGTTCCAACTCACAGCAACCCTATGTCCAACAAAAAGAAACACTGCCCAGTTCTGGAGCATCCTCACAATCATTGATTTGCTTGAGCCCTGCGGCAGCCCCTGTGTCAATCTGTCTTACTGAGGATTTTTTTAGGCAGGACAATTCTTTGCTGTATATACTGCAGAAAGTTTAGGAACCCTGGCTCCTTGCCTTCAAGCAGTGCCTCCAAGTAATTGTGACAACCAGAAACACTCTCAAATTGGGCATTTCCACATGCCGCCTGAGAACAAAATTCCCCTGATTAAAATTGGTACAGGGAATCATTATCCACATGTTTAGAATCTAAATTCTCAGTTAGAGGTTCCATAATACCAACCAAACCAAACTCACTGCCATCGAGTTGATTCGACTCATAACAACCCCTCCCTGGGTTTCTGAGGCGTATCTCTACAGAAGTAGATTGATTGCCCAATCTTCCTTCCGTGGAACGGCTGGTGGGTTTGAACCGCCAGCCTTCTGGTTAGCAGTCAAATGCCTTAGGCACTAGGCCACCAGAGCTCCTACAGGTTCCAT